ATTCCTTAGAGCGGTGCCAAAAATGCAGAGTAAAATTGTTGAGCTCAATTCGATCGAGCTGCTGAAAGCCTTGATCTACCTTGGCTACACAAAAGCGGCAGAGACGTTCGTGGCGTGGAACTGGTTGTAGTGCGTGATCTGTGTACCGCAGTCTTTCTAAGGCAAGTTGGTGTGTCGACAGCATGATCGAGGTTAGAGCGTCGCGATGTTCAGCTATTTTTACCATGAATAGGTAATGCCTCAGATAGAGAGTTTTACGCGCGGCTGGTTTGTCCTTTTGTGGTTCAAGTCGGCCATGTAGCAAGTAGAGTTTGACTGATGAGTCAACTTCACTCTGTAACCATTCCAGTGCCAAGGATTCAATCCCCTTGCGATATTCTGCAACGCTCTTTTCAGTAGCGGATTTAAAATCCAGGGGAGGGCATGCGAATGGTAGCTTGGTGGCTGCAGTGAGTACATCTCCGGCCCAAGACTTCTTCCCGGTTGCTGCGAGTTCGATCGAACTATTCAGTGCAGCTCGGGCCAAGTGAGGCATTGTGAGTGAGAGGAGGTATTGCAGATACACCAAGAGGATGATGAAGCGACGGATACGGAGCGGCATAATCCCGGTTTCAGTGAAGAGCGGTGCGAGCACGGATTGGGAATGGACGTTCAGCATTTGTCGTAGGAAGTCAACTTGAACGGCGCATAATTCCTTGACATGGATATCCTCACTGTCAGGGGAAACTTCGCAGCCGTGGGTAAGGTGACAGTCGACTCGTCCCATGTATAGAGGTTTAAGCTCCTTGGGTGTGAGACGGCCCGTTGAGTCCTCTAATCCCATGATCCGATGGGCGCAATACCGCGCTGTGCTTGCTTTTGCCTTGTAGTGGTCCTCAAACATATTCCTTGTATCCGTTCGGAAGTTCATGCCGACATATTTTTCCTTGGATTTGATAGCCAGTGTGGTTTCTCCGAGTTTGAACACGAGGTTTACCGGCGCTGGACCAAAGATCATAACAATTGTCTTGATCATGTTGACAACGATGAAATTCAGTGAGCACCATCTGGTGAGTGCGTTCAGTCTGCGCTGCAATCCTTCGGCCGAGAGCGGGATTGAGTAAAATGTCGTCGGCTTGGGCAAGAATAGCAATTCTAATACCGGACAGAATAGCATCGTCTATGTCATCAAGCATAATGAGGTCGGCCATGAACAGATTCCATAGAACTGGAGATGCAGGGTCGCCAGTGAGTAGGCCAATGGAGAAGAAACCCAACTCTCATCGTTGGATTCGCCCTGGATATAAATCACACCAGCGTGTGAGAGGGAGAACCTCACAAGACCGAAAACTGAGACTTCGTTGGAGGAAGATTGGAGAAAAAAAAACATCAAACGCACACATCTACGACCCAGCCCAGAATCGAACGGGTGACTTCCCCCTCGCTATCTGTATCTTGGATGTAACTTAGTAGGAGTCGGAGATGCGGACCATCCGCCGCTGGGTCTGTACACGCCGTGCTGAAAGACTCAATTTAAGTCAGTGCTGGAGAGAGATTGGAAAAGATAGGAATGCACTGTCTCGATTTGGAGGAAGGATGGACTCGGAGAAAAAACGCACGAACAATGCACTAATCCCGACCCAGCCCCGAATCGAACGGGCGACTTCTCCTTACCCTTCTAATAGCCAAGCACATAAGGCAGAGATGCGGGCCATCCGCAACTAGGTCTGTATATACCATGTTGGAAGACTGGACAACGATCAGTGCTGGAGAGAATGAATCAGAGAAATGCACAAACGAGAGAAGAAAACTCCCCACTCCACGACCCAGCCCCAAATCGAACGGGCGTCTTCCGCAGCTATATCCTACTAGCGAAAATTGGCGCGGATGCGAACCACCCGCCACTGGGTCTGCACATCTCGTCCTTTCATCCTCCATACCCGTTAGCGCAACAGGGATGTAAGGCAGAGCAGAGACACACATTCGCTTATTGACCCTTGACGAGGCTGGAATAAGGATAGTACTGAGTCAGTTGGTGCTGAAAGTGAGAACAGAAGAAGCAAACAGTGACGAGACTGCACCAAGGGGAGTAAAAAGCTGCGGCGCATTCGCTCTGGTTTATAACTCGAGCCCGAATCGAACGGGCGCTGGACAAGCACTCTGCGTCGAAGCTCAAGGAGCGCGGACACGGACCACCCGCCAACGAGTCCATACACCTGCTCCTTTGATCCTGGATAATCGTCAGCGCGAGCAAGTCAGAAGACGGTAGAGATGCACCTCCAGTTGTTTGCCCATACCCATAACAACACCCGCATAGGTTACAGATCCAACATGGAAGAAGGAAAACAGCTGTCGCAGACGCACGAAGGGGAGAAAAAGAAAAGGGCTGAGCGGAGTCCTCTTATGCCACGGGCCCGAATCGAACGGACGTCCTCCGCAAGCAATCTTCAACTTCGACTTGGAATAATTGAGGCGGAGGCCAGCACCTGCTACCGAGTCCATGATCAACATAAGTCCAACCTCGATACCATTCCCAGGGCAATGGAGGTTGAGCGCTTGGGCTGAATCCAGAGGTAAGATGCCACCTGCAAGGGTGAAAACCGAACAGAAACAAAAATCAAAAACGTGACCTGGCTCAGCCTCGAATTGAATCAGGGGAGTGAGTTCCTCTTGTGGCCTGTCCTTGTCAGCGCGAGATGAAGTTTGAGGAGGGTAAGAAACGCACCTGAAATCGAATGGCTCACAGTTCTTTACACAGCGTACCGGCCCTCGGAGAGAACGAATTTCAAAGCAAAACCCAGAGTGCCGAACGACAACGCTCCAGACGAAAAAAAGTGTGGTGGATCGCCCCTATGACTCGGGCCCGAATCGAACGGGCATCTTCCGCAAATGGGATGGTGGACTGTTGATGCAGTGGGGAGGCGGGCCACCCGCTACCGAGTCGATATTGATACTAATTCTAAGGCCAAAAGGTGCTTTAGTGCGATTCGGAGGATGGAAGTAGACACATACACGCAGTCTTGTTGGGGCGGGAAGCCGAGAGGCGACAGGCGAGAAATGATGCGGGTTACAACCTTGCCTGAAGCAGGACAGAGAGGCCCCCCGACATTGCGAGGGCGCTATCAAAAGAAAAGCCCCATCGCAAATCAGCATGAAGTATAGCATGGATACCCGTGAATCGTTGTCATTTTGTTCTCGTCCCCTCACACCACCATTGAATCCACATCAGCAATAACCCCACACTCCGCAACCGCCTCGATGATGCGTACGACGTCCATGCCCACAGTGTTGGCGCCGAGTTCGGGTAGAGTACAAAGGTAGAAGAAAAAGAGAGGGCAGGGAAAGTGGGGTAAGAAGAGGACAGGAGGGACAGAAAGTGGGGCAGACAGGGACCCGTGCACGATCTCGACCGACGTGAGGGGGACCATGCAAGGGAAATGCTTCGGTGATTCTGCGTTCTCGGATTCGAGCATAAGGGCGGCAGGAGGGGGAGTGATGCGGCGAAAGAGCGGTATGCGTATCCACAATTCAGCCGGTCGAGGAGGAGCTGAAGTTGCGGATGGCACAGCCAAAAGGACATGGTGGTGGAAGGAAAGAAACGAATACGACAATGTCACAGGCCTAGACCAGTCACGATTCCACGCACACCGCCACTCGGCAGTCGGGCCGAGCCGATGTTGGACTTTGACCGAAGGCATGAATAGAGGAAAGATTGGGCAGTTTCTGTTGTGGACGCAGCTGTGGATCACAGAGGATCTTCTACCTCCACATGTATTCTATTTACCCCGGACTTTCCGGTAATTGGATGCCCGAGGTCGAGTCGTCGAATTTCCAGTCCAACAGTGTTGTAAACGGCGCTCGATTCGTACCCTCCGCAATTTTGACCGCAAATAGAGCGATGCGCGGCGAAGACCCGAACTCATCAACGAATACTCCTTCCAGATACGAGTCCAACCGCGGATCAAAGCGACTTTGAAATAATACTGAGGATCAAGATCTCGGCCTGTAACTATCACGCGGGAGGATTAGTTGAGAGGTCCAGAGATAATTTGGCCCCGTTTCACGATCCAGTGCAGGCTCGCGTTGGGAACGGCAGCAGTGAAGAATCAAACCTTGCCAAAACAAGGACGTTGAAGGTTGAAGGTTGAACCAGACCTGTCCAGACAGCGTAATCATATTCCCCGTATAAGTAAGTGCGGTTCAAAGTGGCTGGGATCTGACGACCACTAAATCAGGTTCAGCGTTCGAACCACCCTGAGGCTGAGTGACTTTATACGGAGTTATCTTCCCGGTCGTTGCGTTGCTGAGTTACCAGTGCATCCATTTGGCGGCGCCACATCCACGGTACAGGCATAATAGTTCCGTCAACTTCAGGCTGTCGGTAGATTTGTTGGTTCAGTTTGGCGTGCTTTTCTTGCAGTTGCAACCTAAGAACAGCATTCGCGTTTTAGCAGGGTACACAAAATCTGAATCATCTAGCCAACCATGTATCCTCGTAGGTGGGCGGAATCAAGGCCATGGCAGCGCGATGCTAGGATTAATGCGCAACATCATCAACCCACAGCTCTCTCTCAAAGCGGCGCGCGAAGGAAGTTATTGGTGAGTGTCAGTGTTAGCAGATACCGGTATCATCTGGGCGGAACAATGGAGGCAAAATAAAAATACGCGGTCAAGGTCCACGAACCGTTACGAACGACGCAGCCCCGAATCGAAGGGGTGACTTCTTCTCCTTAACCTTTCGTTGCCCGGCTAAGTAATGGAGATGCGGGCCATCCGCAACTGGGTCTGTACACGTTTTTCTTTGACCACATAATCCCAGATAAGACAGTCAGCGCGGGAGAGATCAGAGAATGCAGACACGTGCGCCCCATTTTTTAATTGGTAGATAATGGATTCATGCCACTTTTCGATGCAGCACGCCAAGAGAGAGCTTTACTAGTGAGTCCCAGTCGTGGCGGCCTTCGAGAGCATTCTGGACGGAACAACGGAAGGAGAAGAAAAAACATGCGGCAAGTCACGAACGACCCAGCCCCGAATCGAACGGGGGACTTCTCCTTACCCTCCTAATCGACAAAGACGTAAGAGGCAGAGATGCGGGCCATCCGCCACTGGGTCTGTACGCACCATTTTTGAAGACTGGAGAAACGTCAGCAAGGAGAGAGCTGAGAGAATGGAGAATGCACAAACCCACCTCTTATTGCTGAGTTCGTCCTTGACGCAAATCGTAATATGACACGGACATTGCAAGGTTCGCACTGTGAGAGGAAAACATCGCGAGCCGGGAAACAACTGCACTGAGCACCAAGAATTCTTTGGAGAGGATGGAGAAAAAGATCCTCAACGCGAGCACGACCCAGACCCGAATTGAACGGGTGACTTCTCCTTACCCTCCTGGACTTGGGCGTAAGAGACAGAGATGCGGGCCGTCCGCCGCTGGGTCTGTACACACCGTGTTGGGAGGCTGGATAGATTTTAGCGCGGAGACACATGGGCAGGCAGAACTGCACCGTTCCGTTATTAATGAGCCCTTCCAAACGCCTAGTGTGGATTCCGAGATTCCGAGCAGCCAGTGTCGCGAGGATAGGCTCCAAAGGATGAACCCAACGAGATCTGACAAAAAAAAGAGAAAAGAGACGGAACTTGACGCTAGGACTCGGGCCCGAATCGAACAGGCATCTTCCACAAACACATTCTTTGTGACGCGCACAACAATTCATGTGGATGCGGACCAGCCGCCACCGAGTCGGCCATAACAGCACATTTGGGCAGCACATTTAGGCCCGATACCATTACCACCTAGAGAAAATAAATTCAGCGGAACGAACCAGAGATTCCAGAAACCCGGATGAGTTGAACGTTGCCCGAGCAGTGCCTGGGTTGATATTCACCCAAAAAAGCCAAACGAAAGAGGACACAAGACCCAGCCCCGAATCGAACGGGTGATTTCTCCTTGATGGCGATGATTGGTGCGGATGCGGACCAGTCAGTAATCGCGACAAGTGTAGTCTCAGTATGTTACTCACCTTGCAAGCAGGACGAAGCACGGATTTGAGAAATCTGAGCTCGGAAGGTTGGTGGTATCGGGCATAAAAGCCAACAGGAAGGGGGAACGAGACCCAGCCAGTGAATTTGAGAAAAGCTCGCAATTCAACGTTCCATGTCAGCCCTCAAGGCGCCAGGACTTGCATCCTGTCATTGAAATCGTGAAATCGATAAAGCACGAGATGTGCAGACCTAGTGGCGGGTGGTCCGCATCCGCTCCAATTTCTGCTTGCAAAATGTTGCTGCGGAAGACGCCCGTTCGATTCGGGGCTGGGTCGTGGAGTTCTGATCGAGTTGATTTTTTTATTCTCCCCCATCTGACTTTCACCCATTTGCGCAACAGGGATGTATGGCAGAGACGTACTGACATTCAATTCTTGGCCTTCAATGAGGCTGGAATGAAGGCAGTGCGAAGTCAATTGGCGCTGAAAGTGAAAAAGCGAGACCCTACGGACAGAGGTAACAAGCGCAGTGACGAGACTACACCAAGGAGGAAAAAATACCAAACGCTTGTCACACAACTCGAGCCCGATTCGAACGGGAGTCCTCCGCAAGCACTCTGCGTGAGGAAGTGGGCCACCGGCCACCGAGTCTGTACACCCGCTCCTGTAATCCTGCATACTTACCCGTCAGTGTGAGAGAGGGAGTTTGAAGATAGAAACGCACCTCCCCTTGTTCGCCCATGACGCCCCTTAGGACGCCCGCAGAAACAGCTAGGGGAGAAGATACAGGGAAGAGAGAAAACAAGCAGTCGGAACCCCACGAAAAGGAGAAAAAGGGGGAACACGGAGTCTTCTTATGACCCGGGCCCGAATCGAACGGACGTGGTCCGCAATCCAATTGCAGTGGCTTCAATAATTGGGGCGGATGCGAGCACCTGCGAGCGAGTCCATAATCACGACAAGCTAAGCCTCGATAACATTGCAGGTACGACTCGCCGCCGTACGAGGATGGATGAAGGTTGAACTTCAATGCCGGGCTAAAGCGCGTCAGCAGATGCTCGTCACCTGCAAGGCTGAAAACCAAACAGGACTGAAAGATGAGAATACGAGTAGTGACCACACTGCCCAGCTCCGAATCGGGGGAGTGATTTCCCCTTGTACCCCGTCCTTTGATCCTGAATAAACGTCAGCGCGAGAAGAAGTTTGGAGGAGGTGGAAACGCACCTCCACTCGAATGGCTCATGGTCCTTGACACGGCTTACCGGCCCTCGGAGAGAACAAATTTGAAATTAAAACCCAGAGTGCCCAACGACAAGGCTCGAGAGCCAAAAAAGACTCCACCTCACACCATGCGGAGTAAAACCGCACACAGCGCATCTAATCCATATCAGCAACAACCCCACACTTCTGCAACCACCTCGAAGGCGCGCACGACGTCCATGCCTTCGACGTCCATGCCCTCAGTGTTACTGCCGACCTCGAGCAAAGTGCAAGGGTAGAAACAGAAAGGAATACAGGAAAAGCAGGACGGGCGGCACAGGAAGGACGGAAAGTACGGAAGTGCGTGCGCGCTCTCGACCGGCGTGAAGGAGAACTATGCAAGAGGAGGCGTTCAGAACGCGTGGAAATGCAGAGGAAAGAAGGGAGGGAAGTACGCACCTGTGCGATGTTGGTATCGGCCGAGCTGAAGTATATACTTGTGCCAGTTGTCATTCAGCGCAGCGTCGGCGTCGCAGCCGTAACGCGGATGCCAAAGTAATGGAGACGGAGGGAGAAAGTCTAGACAGAGCAGCCAAATGGGCCGGCAGAATTTGGCATCAAGACAAGATCAAGAATTGGCCGCCGCTACTGTGGGTGCCAGCAGCGCCCGGGCTAGGGATTGGACTTGGAACTTGGAAGAAGAAGATTTCAAAGTTCAAGGCTTCGAGCCTCGAGGATTCTGGCTGCCTATGCATGAAGTGGCGAGCTAGAGACTGTAAACAGCAGTGTGCGTATACAGCCGGTCGAGGACGAGGTGAAGTTGTGGATGGCACAGCGAAAAGGACATGGTGGTCAAAAGAAACGAATGTCACCTTGGAGTCACGGCGTTACGCACACCGCCTCGGCAGCCGGGCCGGGCGATGTTTGTTTTGAACCAGCAGTTTATGCACGCCTCAATGCATACCTCCCATTGGACGGGCTAGTCGAATGTGGGGGAACTTGAACAAAGGATTGAATGGTCAAAAGAGGCCACTTGGCTTCGCCGGGAAGCACATCTATACATTATTACAATCGAGCACTTCTTACTACGGTGCTATTCAATGGCCATGTTTATAAATCGGGTTTATAAACAGCTGCTTATAAGCACGGTTTTTCATCCTTTGCTCAAACCACCTGTTTATAATGAGTCATAGGGGGGAACAGTGTGAGAGCCCACTGAGGGGAGAGGTTCAACCCGTTTCACTGGCACGAGACAATTGTTGATTTGTTACTCCAAATGGGCCACTTTTCAGACATTGCACGTAAACTGTGTCTTAGAGGGCTACCACTGGCACTTAAGATATATGAACTGGAAATCCGAGTGGACATTTACAGCGATCCACTGGCATAAAATCATGCTGGGCCGGCCGTAGCATAACACGGGCTTACTGCTAGTCAATCTTAAACTCTAACTACCAAGTACCTACTAACACAAATCGTCGAGGCTAAAGAGCCCAATGGCACAACATTCAACATATGCTTTCTTGCGGTCATAATTTACAGGAAGTGATTAGATAGGAGGGAAGACTACAATCCGTAATGCACAAATGGCACCCAGCGTTTGAAAGATATGTCGGGGTCTTTACGAAGCTTGGCAACCGCCAGATGAAGCGCTTTGGCTGTTTGTGTCAGGTCGGGGAACATGGGTGGATCGGCAGCTGGATCACAATGCTTGAAAAGTTGCTCATAGAACATGTCCGCAATGTTGGGACCATCACGATCGTCCATGATCCTTATTGAAGTCAGATTATCTCCCCATGGAATCTGCAAAAGCTGTGAAACTCACCACATTGTTGCGACCACCCCGTGAAATCCCGCGAACAGAAGAGTCGCTGCAAGATGCATGGCTTCGTCGGGTACAGCTTGGTCACCTTTTGCCGTCTCGCATGCACTGAGGAACGCAAATGATAAGGACTTTCTAACGTTTGAGGTGTTGCGACCCTCTGCTCTGTGCATAATCTCTGAGATCTTGAGGTGGCCATCTTTCAATATGAGACCACTATCCAGTGGTTTCTCCAAATTTTGTGTTCCATGGCACGCAAAATGCATAACTGATGATTCACGTAGGTGAGTCAGTGCAGTTTCAACTGTTGTATCCATCAAAGAAGTAAGCCATGCATTGGGAACCCTCCCCGAAATTTGCTTTAACTCCTGTTGGGCTCCTGGTAGAATATTATAACCTGGAGTATCCCGCTGACCCACGGCAGTCATTTTGAACCGGGTGGGAGTATCCATAGGAGAGTCCAGCAATGCAGTGAGGTTAGGTGTGTAGGATGACACGACATAATCCGATGCACACTCTGCTCTTTCATTGATGTATATGCCTGCTGCGTGGATGGGAAGAAATGCGAGAGAGCCAGTAGGGCACCACCATAAGCGGGATGGATTGTCTGATTTCTGTCAAAAAAGAAAGTTGGCTCACATTCTACACCCACAAAAACATTGTTGACTCACCTCCAGCTTCAGTACCCTAAACACCGGTTCAACAATGTTTTCCCAAAGGTACGCTAGAAGCCACGCAAAGACATCATCGGAGCTCATGTCACTCTTGCCTTCTCGTCTACCAGGTAGTCGCAAAAAATCACTCGAGGCCTCTTCCCCAGGTCCCTGCCTATATATCTGCCCTGTAGCGAAGTGCCCGAGATCAAATCCAGGCTTTGAGAGTCCACGAGATAGGTCAGCAAGAAATAGGACCAGATGCACATCCAAGTTTGGAAGATTCAGCTTCTGAACCTCTTTATTTGACTGCACAATCAATGCAGAGGAGGTTGAGTGGGAGGTTGTGAGAATAACAATTGGGCCAAACACTGCAGCTTGTTGAAGGGCAACCATCTTCTTGGGTTGCATAAAATTTCCAAATCCAGGTAACATTTGAATGGCTTCAATGCACTG